TGTATTACGAAGTAATACCTGGAAAGAACAAACACGTACACCAGATTTAAGCCACTAATCACCTGCACAGGAAACTCAAGACAAACACTTGAGAGAGAAAAGACAGACACAGGTAGATCAGAAGATAATTACAGGCGTGATACAAGGGCCAACAGGGTACTGTTAAAGCTTTAAAATTGTATGACATGTCACTTCTGCACATGCGTACAGCTTAGTTTGGAATTTAAATTGATGATTCTTTTTGAGTGTTTTATTTGATATTTAAATTGCCGATCTTTTCAAGCCATCGGGTATAATATAACGTAGTACATTTGTGCAAATATAGTGTCGAATTGCCCCCCAATATTATATAAGATGAGATACATCTACAACGCGATTATTGTTATATAATGCTACTTAACAATAGACCGATTGTAACCCTATCAACTATCACACTTTTAATTATTTGGAAACACAAAGAGAACAAGACTACAGATTGTACATCACATGTGCATTATAAACATTGGATTTGGAACAAACGAATGATATATCGTCGGTATTTTCAATTGGAAATAAATTACAGAGTCAGCATTTACACTCGCATAAATCAACATTACAATAGAGTATATACTATCTGATTACGTTTATAAACACGAATGGTACTATTGTTACGTAACGAAGAGATCCCGTCAGATTCGTCTACGCTGGAGAGACCATGAATGATCGACAAAAGATTTATTAGTTAACAATTAACAACAACACGCCAACATGCCCTATCCCATACACACACACAAGCACACATACGCTACACACATGGAGGCACGTTGTTACGGCACGATTTCTCACCCGATATGATTTCTCACCCGGGTGAGACATCGTGCTAAAAGTGCTGCGGTTGCAACACGATTTCTCACCCTAACACCTTTTCTCACCCGGATGAGAAATCGTGCAAAACAATTGGGCATAGCTGACACGTTAACTCACCCGGTTTGATTTCTCACCCCAACTCTCAATTAGGGATGGATTTTGTCCCTTGTGTCTTAAAAGTTGCCGAAGTGTACATGTAATAAATGAGCTGACATGATTAAATGAGTAGTAGTTCAATGTACAACATGCCTTATATTTATTGGTTGATTTATTTATCAATCTATTTATTCATATTTCATTATATAAGTCATTGCTTTTTACCGAAAGTCGATCTAAACCCCTAAAACATATAAAAGTTACATTGTATGACTACTTGTTTCTATGCTATGATTATTGGACTAAATTTGCAAGGTTTTGTCCATATAAATAAATGCACTTCTGGTCTTTATAGCATGTACAAGTGTTTTTGTTTATGAGGAATTAATTCTAGTTTACGTGTCCAATATCATTACATGTACATGCTTGCTTACCGGTCCATCGACAGTGGAGAGGTAAACCGGGCCAATAGATGGTCGGTAACAATAAATGCAAAATCAAATCTAAATAAAACGAACGTAAAGGTAAAAAACAAACGTCAACTTGAATAGTACAAGTGGCTATTGTAATTTTTGTTTGAAGCAGAGTAACATCTTTCAGAGAGTTTAAAATTGTAGAAACAGTTATTGTATTAAAAATTGATATAAGACATGAAACGTTATTATATAAATTATCTCGTGTGACTCTGGATATAGACCGTAAATATATAGTAACATCCTTTATACTTTATACTTTATCTCCTTGCCGTTTTAAAACATTTGGGAAAAGTCCAAATATCTTAAAATTGAAAAGACTTTACCATTTTTGTTATAAGAAACTGTGACAAAAATCAAGACATCTGAATTTTTTATTTTTATTATTTTGTATATTTCAGATTTGGGTATCCAAAAAATACAAACATTTCTCAAACAAATATCAAAGACATAATAATACACATATCAAAAGAGTGGTTACATGCAAATGATACATCGAGTGCGGGTGTGCTTTTACCTTAATATACATATCATAGAGTGACGAACTGTTATATGATTGCGTTTTATAAAACAATAATATTGTTATGTGTTTGGAATGAAAACAAAACTATTATTTCTACGAAAAAACATTGTAAATCAAACATATATTTACAACTTTAAACATCCATAGATAACTATATATTTCTTAACATATCATAAACATTGTTATCAACAGAGTATATCATAATTAACAATAGAAATGTACAGATGATGACATCGAAATGTAAATAACAATTGTGTGAATCATGGCGAGCTTGCAGATATACACATTTGGAATATCTAAACGAACGTCTACAATAGTATTCAGAGGTGAAACTGGAAATTTACAAAGACTTTATTACATAGCCAGAAGAAAGCCTGTTTGAATAATGAAAGATTGCACAGGTTTGTACTAAAGAAGCATGTACCAGCCCGCCAGTACATCAATATTGTAACAATGTGTTGCAGCTTTGTTTTGTTTTTCCTGTCCAATAAACACACATATACAGTGGACATAGGAGGTCTTCCCTGAACACCAACACTGCTTAAAATCACATGTTTACATAGGTGATCAGTTGTGATGATAGTGAGTTATAGTCTATTGCAGAAATGGCGTACAGGTAAATTGCACAGGTAAATCAACTTCTGATAACTAATCAGATAATCAATAACTGCTAATAATTGCAAAATAATAATTAATATTCAAATCCCAAGCTGTTAAATGGGTAATGTATAAAACAGCAGCACATTTTGGTGAATTATTATATTTCGCTCTGTGCTTGGAAACATCAACTTCTTTACCAGTGAAATTTGTGTGAATTTTCTTATAATTATTGTCATATAAAACTTATTTTCAGATTTTACCTTGATTTTACCTTGTGTCACTTCATTTTGATATTATTATCTGTTATTGTGTGCTTTGATACATCAACTACAAGATGGAAAACGCTCAGATCAAAGTTAAGTGCATCACCAACAGGAGAGGCGGACAGAACCTTTCCCGTGATGGATTCATCTACAGACAAATATGTAGAAACGGCGACAGAACATTCTGGAGATGTTCAACCTCAGATTGTTCAGCATCCCTCTCGACAGTAAACAACATACCAGCAAACTTCGGAAGACATCAACACAACCACGCCGCAGACCCAGCCAGTGTTGTTGCAAAACAGATAATGAACCAGATCACCAACCGCTGCGTAGAATCTATCAGACCCATACCGTCCATCTTCGACGAGGAACTCAACCAACTCCGCGACAACGACTGGAACCGCTTCTCAACAGAAGGATCTCGGACTACCAACCATCTGGAAGCTTGGCACGGAAAACTAAAGAAAAGAGTACAGCATGCCCACCCCAACATCTACACCATCATCCAGACGTTTAAAGACATACATAACGTGGATAACATCAACCGGATCCAGAGAGATGCAGGTGGCACTACTCAACCCCGAAAGAGATACGCCAACATCGACAGACGACTGACCACCCTGAAAGACCGTTATCAGACTGGAACTATCGACCTGATGATCTACGCCGATTCGGCATCACAGCGTCAGCATCTTGGATAGAATGTGTTGTGCTAAAGACTTAAGTGATATATATAGATAAAGGGATTTGTGCTAGGAACTTCAGCTTCATTTAGTGGTTTACTGTTTATATTTATATTTAATAATTAACTTTTAGTGCTGTATTAAATGTGTATTACTATTATATGTATGAGTAGAAACTTTATTTTATTGCTGACATTAGTATCAATGTGGCTTAAATTATGGAATTTTATTTTGCATATAATGTAATGTTATTTTTATTTTTCATATAATGTAAATATTAATATTTAATGATTATTTTCTAATGTGTATTACAGTTATATGTATGATTAACAACTTGTTATCCATTTTATTATTGACTTTAGTATCATATCTACAAAATGAGTTGACATTCTTAGTTGAAACGGGCTATAACTAAACTTCAAAGGGTTTCCTATATAAACACCTTCCTTTCAATTCTCCAGAGTTGGTGTTCGGGGAATGAGCCGGAATTAGACATTTAATCTATATAAGATGGACTCTACATACGTACAGACACAGGTGATTGTATCATTAACACTTGGCAATAGATACAGCACGCCCAAAAGAATTGCACTGCATCATACATCCCACATCCCACATACACGCTGTTTTTGATTGAGTGATTTAAAGTACCATCTATCCGGATGTGGTAATCTATGACCTATTATTTGTATATAGACTTGAGAAGTATAACCGGTAGAATCGATTTAATAACAACTATGTTAACTCGAACAGATCAACATTGTAAAATATACATATCTGGAGCTAATTTGAGTACATAAATATATATTGTATATATGTCACGAGGTATTCCGCAGAACTTGTTGATTATGGAAAGACATTGAATGATATACAACAAATTCTTCGACCTACATTAGTCAACTATTTCAGAATATTTGTAATACACTGATAGTGAGATATTCAAAGGGACTTGTTCACGCTGGGAAAACTTCGGAGACCTGGTCAGACAGTTCGGAACTGTTATTTGCCGTGGTGCTGGTTATTAGCTGAAATTTATAAAAGTTGCTTAAAAGCTCACTGTGGTGTTGTTGTGTCGGTACGTTGGCCTATATATTTCCTTGTTACGGGTATATCCAATGCGATCCCTACAGCTATGTACTACACATATACACATTTACATACATGTACCGATCATTTCTGCGGCGTTAACGTTTACTGAAACAAGCAGAGACATTTAAATTTAGAAACCACCCGATCAATGCTGAAAGACGATATCAGGTCGAAGCTGTACAAATAATAAGATGGTTTGGCGAGTGTGTGAGCATAAGCAGATTTACCAGGAAGAGAAAACTGACAACGATAATTTATATACATTTGCTACATTGTGTACAGTGATATAGGTGAGTTGTCTTTGTATTTTCTTTTCTAGTATGATTTGACCTATTCTGCTCTTGTTGTCGATACACATGCTCTTAGAATAATATCACTGATAACAACTTCTTTCCACTCATATAAGTGTCAAATTACATAGACCATAGATGTATTACTCATTCATTCTCTGATTAATCCACATTTCATACATACAGTTATATATTACACATATAAACACGACATGCCTATCCTATCAACAGTGCGACCTTTTACTGACGCAAGCAACGGCATTTAAATTTAGACACCACCCGATAGAACTACAGGATAGTCAATATATCGGCAAGCCACATAATATTGTTGTAACAATAATAGGGTGTGAGCGTAAGCAGACATACTAGGAAGACAAACCTGCTGTTCTAGTTTAGTTGAAAGACCGCGACAATTATATATACATTTGCGACATTGTGTTAATTACTATTGGTAAGCAGTTTTTATGATTTCTTTTCTAGTGTGTTATGGCTTGTTCTGGTCTTTTTGACAAACGTGATCTAAGAGTAATATTCCTGATAACACCTGCGTTTTACTCATAGAATGAATACTGTAAATATATAACAAGACTTGAATCTTCCTCTGTCAAATTGCATCGTAACACAAGATCTAACAAGAGATTCAATATCAACAGGTGTCAACTACATAAACTTAAAATGACAATCTACAAGTACTGTTTTTTACCAAAAAATATCAAACCCAGAACAGAACAACAAAGTTAAATTTATTGTTGAACCCTTTTCCATATATTATAACTGCACTTCGTAAAAATTGTAAATCTGCTACCTTGATGCTTAAGCATATATTTATTTTTTTACTCTAAATTCTTCATGACATAACGATATACGAACAATTCGCATGGATATATGGAAATAATTATTCTTTAAAATATATAACCCAGATATAATTCCGTTGCATTACACAAATTACAATGATTAATGATACCCATAATACACGTTACAGACGATAGATCTCTGAATGTTTTGTGCTAAAGACTTAAGTGATATATATAGATAAAGGGATTTGTGCTAGGAACTTCAGCTTCATTTAGTGGTTTACTGTTTATATTTATAATTAACTTTTAGTGCTGTATTAAATGTGTATTACTATTATATGTATGAGTAGAAACTTTATTTTATTGCTGACATTAGTATCAATGTGGCTTTAATTAAGGAATTTTATTTTGCACATAATGTAATGTTATTTTTATTTTTCATATAATGTAAATATTAATATTTAATGATTATTTTCTATTACTTAGTGCTGTATTAAATGTGTATTACAGTTATATGTATGAATAACAACTTGTTATCCATTTTATTATTGACTTTAGTATCATATCTACAAAATGAGTTGACATTCTTAGTTGAAACGGGCTATAACTAAACTTCAAAGGGTTTCCTATATAAACACATTCCTTTCAATTCTCCAGAGTTGGTGTTCGGGTAATGAGCCGGAATTAGACAGTTGACCTATATAAGATGGACTCTACACACGCACAGACACAGATGATTGTATCATTAAAACTTGGCAATAGATACAGCACGCCCAAAAGAATTGCACTGCATCATACATCCCACATCCCACATACACGCTGTTTTTGATTAAGTGATTTAAAGTACCATCTATCCGGATGTTGTAATCTACCTATTATTTGTATATAGACTTGGAAAATATAACCGGTAGATTCGATTTAATAACAACTATGTTAACTCGAACAGATCAACATTGTAAAATATACATATCTGGAGCTAATTTGAGTACATAAATATATATTGTATATATGTCACGAGGTATTCCGCAGAACTTGTTGATTATGTAAAGACATTGAATTATATACAACAAATTATTCGACCTACATTAGTCAACTATTTCAGAATATTTGTAATACACTGATAGTGAGATATGCAAAGGGACTTGTTCACGCTGGGAAAACTTCGGAGACCTGGTCAGACAGTTCGGAACTGTTATTTGCCGTGGTGCTGGTTATTAGCTGAAATTTATAAAAGTTGCTTAAAAGCTCACTGTGGTGTTGTTGTGTCGGTACGTTGGCCTATATATTTCCTTGTTACGGGTATATCCAATGCGATCCCTACAGCTAGGTATTACACATATACACATATACACATGTACCGATCATTTCTGCGGCGTTAACGTTTACTGAAGCAAGTAGAGACATTTAAATTTAGAAACCACCCGATCAATGCTGAAAGTCGATATCAGGCCGAAGCTGTGCAAATAATAAGGTGGTTTGGCGAGTGTGTGAGAATAAGCAAACATACCAGGAAGAGAAAACTGACAACGATCATTTATATACATTTGCTACATTGTGTACAGTGATATAGGTGAGTTGTTTTTGTATTTTCTTTTCTAGTATGATTTGACCGATTCTGCTCTTGTTGTCGATACACATGATCTTAGAATAATATCACTGATAACAACTTCTTTTCACTCATATAAGTGTCAAATTACATAGACCATAGATGTATTACTCATTCATTCTCTGAGTAATCCACATTTCATACATACAGCTATATATTACACATATAAACACTACATGCCTATCCTATCAACAGTGCGACCTTTTACTGACGCAAGCAACAGCATTTAAATTTAGACACCACCCGGTAGAAATACAGGATAGTCAATATATCGGCAAGCCAAATAATATTGTTGTAACAATAATAGGGTGTGAGCGTAAGCAGACATACTAGGAAGACAAACCTGCTGTTCTAGTTTAGTTGAAAGACGCGACAATTATATATACATTTGCGACATTGTGTAAAGTACTATTGGTGAGTATTTTTTATGATTTCTTTTCTAGTGTGTTATGGCTTGTTCTGGTCTTTTTGACAAACGTGATCTAAGAGTAATATTCCTGAAAACACCTTCGTTTTACTCATAGAATTAATACTGTAAATATATAACAAGACTTGAATCTTCCTCTGTCAAATTTCATCGTCAAACCAAGATTGATGTTGTTGACCTCGAAATCCTTTGTGTTACTTTTAACCAATTCTTAACAAATCACAAGACAAAACCATTTACATTTTATTAACACAAGATCTAACAAGAGATTCAATATAAACAGGTGTCAACTACATAAACTTAAAATGACAATCTACAAGTACTGTTTTTTACCAAAAAATATCAAACCCAGAACAGAACAACAAAGTTAAATTTATTGTTGAACCCTTTTCCATATATTATAACTGCACTTCGTAAAAATTGTAAATCTGCTACCTTGATGCTTAAGCATATATTTATTTTTTACTCTAAATTCTTCATGACATAACGATATACGAACCATTCGCATGGATATATGGAAATACTTATTCTCTAAAATATATAACCAAAATATAATTCCGTTGCATTACACAAATTACAATGATTAATGATACCCATAATACACGTTACAGACGATAGATCTCTGAATCATCCGTATTTCAAATATACCTTCGTTTATGATTAATGTATTATAAGCTACCATCAGGTAGACGTTCACTCCGACGTTATGTGTATCATGCTATTATGTCAAACTGTATGTCGATTGTCCAGTTGTTCACTATGTCTTCCATAAAGAACAAAAGCACCTGCACAATGTCATTGTGACCTTATAGCACCTTGTAAAGATATTTCTAAACTTAATACAAAAGATTCGTGCATGGCTTACTCGCAAATTGAAGTACATAGTTGTCATAGTGGATAATCAATGCAGTTCTTCTAAATCTATTGTAACCTGTGTCGTATTTCAAGGCTGGATGCACGACATTGTTAATATAAAAGCTATATGTAACAACCTAAATGATCTTCGTATGCGTGCATTAAATGTAAATCATGTAACAACTGACAACTTATTCATAAACCGTGACAGACCCATTTTATATATACTTTACAGCCAATATCTTATCATCGTACAGATCATGGGATATCTTTATTCATCGAAGAACTAATGATGAAGTTACAGACGATCTTTATAATTAAAAACATGGATACCATGGACAATTTTAGAAATCTTAAATAAAATCTCTATTTGTCATATATTAATAGATAGAAAATCGTCAAATGAGTTTTAACTGACTGACTGGTGCGTATGTCCGTCTAATTATTTTCTTGTTTCTTATTATTTTATTTATTATTTATTATATTTAATATTGAAATATGAAAAGTTTTCATTACGAAACAGAAAAAAAACTTCTGTGTATACTGAAAGGATAAGGAAACGCAGGGTTACAAAATATGCAATACATATTTAACTGCTTTTTTAAAACTTGTTATGAAAACCGTTCAGACGAGGATCTAGGTCACTGTGCATTTAAACAAACAAAATCACCAACACATCTTGTCATACCACTTGATACTCTCGAGATATACACATCGCTCTCCGCTTTTAACTGTCAATTTGAATCTCGGTTATCATGGTACGGCAGATGGAAGTTCAGAGGGGTCAGGCTTTTGCATTACTAATGCAAAGTCAAGGGCTACAACAAGATGCAATTCAGTTCGGTGTAAATGTTTCCACTATACAACGCCTTGACCGTCGTCTGAGAGACACCGGAAGGGTTGCCGACCGACCGCGACTGTTTGTCTTGCCCACCTGCGTAATCGCTATGTTACTGCCACTGAATCAGCTATTTATACGGTTGGCAGCAATCATAATCGCCACACTCCCTCAACAAAACTGAAACGAACCAATGGCGCGAGGTTGGTTTGCGAGCTCATTATCCTTACATCGGTCTGTCTCTTTGTGCACGTCGGGTCTTTTTCACAGAGGAGTCCCGGCTCACTCGTTATTGTCCGGGCGGTCATTAAACTGTTTTACTGGCGAAGGCTGGTTTGATGATTATCCGCATTCTAATTCATATCAGATAAAATCACCGAAAGAAACGACTATTTTAAGATGTTATTGTTTTGTATTTTCTTCAAAACCTTGGTCCTTCTGCCGTGAATTGGTGACGTCAGGAACATTCAAAGTGAGGCGGAATTACATTGACCTTTCAGGGTCGCGCTATTGTTCGTGAAGCATGTACTTATAAATTTCATTACGTTACGTACCGATGTCAATCGGGGTCATTGACGTTATTAACAATCGCCCATCGGGCTTCAGATGCAAATGAGAAATTTGCTCACGGTATATCGTGGTTATAATGCTGCAAATTGTTCCGATTGACTTATCAAAAGCCTTGTGTCATTTCAAGTAAACTAGAATTACACTTGTATTACCTTACAAAATTTCTCCGTTTGCTTTCCTTTCAGAAAATATGATTACTCTGCACAGAGGAAGTCCTGGATATGAAACAGTAACTAAAGCAAAAAGGACACCATTACCCTCCGTGTAATACTTTCAATACGAAAAGATAAAATGGAAAATATAAACATATTAAAAGCGAAATCACACAGAATACTTGATGAAACATACAGAGAAAAAATGGGGGAATATATTGAATCTTTGAAAATCTATGAAGAAGAAAAGAAATATGTAAAGCCTCCAAGCATAGGTCTTCTCATTTATGCCAGTGAACACAATAAACTCGAAGATCTTGAGTGCTTATGTTTGCAAAATAAATTGCAAGGGAATTTAGAAACCCTCCTAAAACATGCGGTAATGCATGATCGCGAGGACATGGGAGTTTGGTTTCTTCAAAAGGGTGCACAATTTAAAAACCTGTTCAGACGTTCTTTACAGTATGTTGCTGTTCTCAAAGGGTATACAAGAATTCTTGACGAAATTTTGAAACAACGTTCAGTAGATATCAATGATACGGATGCCAATGGTGAGACGGTCTTACACCTGGCCTTGACAAAAGACATTGACAACCCCACAACTTGTAGAATACTCCTAGAACACGGCGCCAGAACCGATGTCCCTGATAGATACGGCATTTTGCCATTGCATCGCGTGACTAGTACCAGTATTAATTCTAAAATGATTGATCTTCTACTGGATTTCAACGCTGATATAGAAGCTTTAGATAACCATGGAAAACGACCACTGGAATATGCGTTTGATAGAAAGTTCAACAAGCAGACAGTTGTGTGTCACCTGATCAGACGGGGAGCAAAGATTGGAAAAAAGTTTGAATCAAATGGGACTTTTCAATGTGAATTTACAGTGCCGGTAGAACATTTACTTACAATGATAAAACCAATTCTGCGTGAAATACGAAACAGGAGCCCTAAAGCCAATGTAAATGATATGTCTGTGCTTGACTGTGTAGATCTGACAGGGGATGTTGGAGCACTCGTCGATCTCCTGAAAGAGAACGGGGATATATCTTCGCTGTGTAAATCCAACAAAGACGCTACAGTTAAACGTTTACTCAGATATGTTGAACTGACCGGAAGTCATCGTCTCCGTCAATGTATGCAGGAAAGGAGTCTTTCAATCCAAGACAAAAGCCCGTCTGATGTTTATAGGCCATGCAATTCTGGCAAGAGAACAATTGCAAAATCATTGTCAGATTCTTCTCTGTTGAAGACAAAATGTGAAGGTACGTATGTTCTGATCCATAAAATCACATTACATTTCACCGTGTACAATTCTAATAAATTCGTGTTCTTCCGAATATACTGTTCACGCGCTATAATGTTTGTTTGTATGGGCTTTTAACGTCTTCGCAAGAACAACGGTCATATGAATGCGGGTGCTCAGTGCGACACCACTGAAAAATAGGAGTAGAGAAGTGGGGGGTGGGGGAAGAAAAAAAAATGTAGAACCGAAGTGGTGCAATGGGTGCAACAGGTAAAGTTTGGTTTCTGCAAAGTCCTGAACTGCAAAAGAAACCAAACAATACCCCCATACTGCAGGAGCCCAACATTAATAATTTATAACGACACGCAGAAGGATACATTAGAGAAGGCCTATGTTTTCTCTATACCTTCAGAGGTGCTCGCTGTAATAGTATTGTCGTTAAAACTATTCCCGTAACTACACTAACTTGTATCGGTTTAACGAATATGAATCAGCAATGTCTAAAGCAAACTGTCTCAGTCTCAAACTTACTGTATCTGTTGGAATATACGCAGGTCTTAGAATTTCAACAACAATCTTATTAGATTAACACCGCCAAATCCTTACAATCGAGTATGGATATAAAAATGTACACGTTTCTGACCATTAGTTCATCGCAATATATCCTACACTTTACGCTTCAGTGTATTACAATCTCATAAATTCCCTTTTGTTGATTTCAATTTAAATCTTTTTATTTACATTAATTGCACGGATGCATCCGTGCCTCGATTTATATAAAAGAAAAAAATAACGAAACGTATTGCACCAAAGGATGGAGTCATCAACACAACCAACACAATAATGACAAGGAATTGGTATAACCAATTACAGTTTGGCATTGGCAATACAACAAACCCAAGTATTATGCACATTTGGCTTATCACATTGCAGTTACTTATCAAGCGTCATAAATGAAATTTGTAACTGAAGAAGAATTTGTTGTTCGATTCTTCCCGAAAATCGTCAATTTTTGCCTTCTTTTAACATGCTTGCGTAAAATGTTGATTACAAACGTCAAAGCTAAGCTATTTACCTTGTTTTCTAATATTCATTTACCTAATATTTTATTTATTGATTCAGTGGTCAGAGCGCCCGTGACGATATTTTAAGCTGTTTTTAATTATCCAATTACCATTGCTAAATTACTTTTTTTCTAATTCTGACAACAAAAATATTTGAATTGTCTGTATCTTGTTCTTGTAAGCTGCAGATTACGCTAAATCTTTTTTTTTTTTTTAGATCAGCCAATTCTAATTTGTGAAGAAGGCGAAGCAAAACAACATATGGCCATTCTTCATTTTGAAGCATTGGATGGTTATGGATTTGTTTTGGCAAGGAGAGACGTAGGTTGATTTTGACATTCATTCATTTAAGTATGAATCAAATTTACAATCAATTCTCAAAATGTTTTTTTTCGGAAATATATTATTAATTTTTTATATACTAATATGAATGTAAATGTAAATTGATGCATACAATGTCATATTTATGTGTGTCTGGTTAGGGATGGGGGTCATCAACGGAGTGAAAAACCTGTTTCAGAGTTATCACAGTCGTTACTTAACGATAAACAAATACACCAACCCCCTCACGCACACACACACGCGCACACAACCATACCCCACTTTTTAAGTTAATATCGGTACATCATTTCAAGATATTTGATTTGACATCGAAAATAGTCGTCAAATGATAAAAGTGAAAATTGATATACAATATAATTTCACGGATACATGTTTATATCACACAGCCCTTTGTGCAGTCATTTGGCATATGAAAAATCCACGACCTATAGATATGTTGCTCTTCTTATTTCGTATAGTATTTCCACAAATAAATACGTATTTAATTTCAATGTGTTTACAGTTGTATTTAATAGCTGCAAAGTGTAAGTGTAAGATACAGCCCAAAGTATGTACAGTCAAGAAATTTATGAACAGCATAATATCAATTATTGTTCAGTTAACAGTAACAACAGTGTTAGAAGATAGTAACATCGCCTCAATGCACAAGTGTCTCTCTTATAACGAGATTTGAATATCTTTTTTCTTTTGCAATTTTTGACAAAATTATTCTTAAGATATTAACAAGCGATAGCTTTATATCACAAACATTTTCTACGTCTTGCCACATAATTTGCGTTTATATTTAAATACATGAAATATCTTTTTTCCATCTGGCTCGGCATATAATATAATATTATAACCCTTGCAGCGTAGACACAAACTCACAAATAACATGTACTCTTATATTAGAAAGAACATTCAGCAAAATTGATATGCCTTACTCTCTCGAAAAATAATTCCTACCTACCGACCCAAATTATGGCCCGCCACAGAATGGTGCGGGGCATACGCTGTTACTCCTATCCGTTCGTCCGTCCGGTTAGGTTTTTTCGTGTAAATATTAGCTATGGAATAGGTGCTGATGCCAATGTCACGTAACGTCGTTATGAATACAATATATTAAATGACAATCCTGTTAGCTCTACCTTGGACCATATTCTTTGAGCATGACCTCGATGTTGATCACTGTGTGGTACGTTTAGATGTTTGTTTTTTCATTCTTTACAAAAATATAAGGACAGGGAAACCAGTTATTCCGAAGGGATAAACTTCTTCTGTTTAATCGACTATGTCTATACATCTAGAACCAATCTTAGTAATAGCGAGAGCATAAAGCGAGAATTTAGAGTTTTAACAACAAAACAACAAGGCGCATTAGTTAATAAGCATAATCAAAAGCGTTGACCTTCTTATCACACAAAGCAATATTCCCAACCCTTCATTGACATTTGTTGAATATATGTGTTTGGCAGTGATATATTTTCGTGTCAATTTATCAAATAATGAAAGGGTGGTTTTTATTTTACCTTTTAATTCAAAATATCTCCTACTCTGATGTTTGCAATTTATGACTTCATGTACAAGAACTATCAGGTAGTCATTTTTAGTATATATCCAATAATAACTTGCCTAAATTAACTGTTGTGTCATCAATACAATTACAGACTAAATGGTTAGAAAAAGTATGCGTAGATCCCGATGCCATAGACGTGGTAGTGATTGTATCGCCCTCTCAAGACGAGGAGTCTATTCAGGAAGTATTCACACTAGCTGCACAGCACCTTATAAACGCAGCCCATGGAATTCCAAGGGAAGACCCATTTAAACTCATTCACATTCCCACAAGCAATTTTCTCGCAGACCCATCGTTACCAAACAGAATTCGTTCCGATCAGCAGTTTTTGAAACTTAGTCGGAAGAAGCATCCGTATGGTATGTATGTCACATTGCTTAATTCGTCATTGGCAGGAAAGATAATGCCCTTACAGCATTTATATTTTTTCAAGTACAGCAGGCTGAGAGTATCTATGGTATTGTCTTCGAAAACAGTTAACACTACTTCACTACGATCACTTCTATTGATAATCATTGCTTTAAATAAAACAAGTTTCTGTATTTGGTGATAGGAGCTTTCTCGTGGACTACAAAGTCTGCAGAGATTTTTGTTTTGTACTAAAACTATTATCCTGGCTCGCTGTTTGAGTTATGGTGCCCTGATAATTCGCAAAACCATGTTAACTGTGTATTACGTACAAACGTTCCCTAAGGGTTTACTTTAGTACAAAACACCATGAGTTAAATATGTAATTATTAACTTTTATTATTCAATTCAATTGTATGCATGTTAATACAAATATTTGTCATTTTAATAACAGATTTCCTGCCACTCCATCATGTAGTTCTTCACGAAAGTAGTACTGTACTGCAAAAAACGTTGATCAACAGTGAACCAGAAGACGTAAATGCTGAGGATGAAGTTGGGTGGACGGCATTGCATCTTGCAATTCTTTTAGGAGAAACCGAAATGGTAAAAATGCTGCTGGACCACGAAGCTGATGCTGCATCCCGTCCGGCACACTGTCTTCCTGCCTTTGTCTGTACAGAGTGGAAAGGAAACTCGCTCATGCATTTGTCACCGCTCAGTCTTTCTGTGTGCCTCAACATGAAAACCGTAGTGCAGTTACTTACTGAAAAAACCCCAGGAAATCCATACTTGGACATTTGCATTCAAATGTCATATGGAATGAAAACGGAGTCCACGCTGCTTGAATCAGTCTGTAGAGAAGCAGAAAGCAGATATCAAGACATTGGTGCTCGCTTTAAGCCGACATACACAGTACACAAGAATCAACCGATTGAACGAGTTTGCCTTGGATTTTCGGAATATGTTGATGATATTGAGAAGAAAAAAGACATACATGGCGTAAGTGTTGTCATCATAAACACGGATATATCTCCAGAGAGCAACTGGATAGAGAAAACTGAAATTACAGAAAATGAGGAAGTCATTTGTAAGTCTGTTATTGACTTATGGGCTGACTACCTTTGGGATCAGCATCCGAATTTAAATGCAATAACTGCTGGAAGCATAGCAAGTGTAAAATGTCCGGAAGCCAAATCTACAGGACACATCATTCTACACTGTTCACACAAAGGATACGTTCCCCACGAGAGCAACTGCTTTCCAACCGAATTAAAATGTGGGAAAGGAACAATTCCTGTTGCAGTACTTGAGGGGGAATTCAATTCTGGCGCCCTTGGAGGTAGTAACTCTGATAACCAAGGAGAGCGAGAATCCACCACCTGTGTTTGTGCTGCATCTGCCAACAATCCAACGAACAGATATCCAATGGAAACAGAAGAACATCTTCCGTTGAAAATAGGAATGCAATTATGTAAATCATATTCCGCTGCCATCACAGCTCATGAAGGAACACTCGGGGCATTCGTAGAACTGGGCAACGGTAAAACTGGGTTCATAACATGTGCTCATCTGTTCTATAAGCAGGCTATATCCGAAGGAACACAGCCCATACACTTCAGTTGTTCACAACAAGGATGTGGTGCTGACGTCATTGCTCCTTTTGACCACTTTGTGGAAAATGGCTTAAGAGGAGTAAGGGATATGGAAATCGACGATGACCGAGTAGGTGATCCCGTAGGTGAAGTTGATGGCAATGTCGAAAATGGGTATGTATAACTTATCAGTGGAAGGTCGATTGTGAACAAATAATAAAGTTAGGAGCGTGTATCTTTGTCTGGAAGGACCTGGTGCTAGAACAACATGCATATGAACTGTGGGATTTTGAAAAGTATCATATTTGTCACGTTATGTATTTTTATACGTAGATTAAATGGTTCGTTTTGAATTCAATGCAAGAACAATAAAGATATAAAAATCTTTTAAAAAATACAAACAAACAAAATTACAAAAAAAAAAGTTTACGTGTTAAAACTATTGCTTTATAAACAGAAGAAATGTCTACTGGGAGTGTGGTAAAGTCGTCCGAGCTATATTTGACCCCACGTTAGAAACCGGCATAGATGCAGCAATCGTGGAAATTGACCAATACAGAGCACCAAGGGATGGTTCCTTTGATGACATAAAACATCTTCATCTCCGAAGAGCAAGTAAGATATGCTATTTTTCTAAAAACATGCAAGAAGCAAACCACACCAACATATTAAAGACGTAGCATTCATAAAGCTTATAGTACAATAATTATAAATAGCCAACCACACTACTTCCCTCAAAACATAACAAGGTTGCAACTTTATATGAGTATCTTTGATGTTTGCTATTTGAAATATTTGCAGAAATGGACTTGACACATCCACCAACATATGCTTCCGGAAAAAAAGCAGATAAACCCTATTTTGATTCAAGTGAGTATTATGCAAATATTATTATGCAGCTTTGTGACCGCACAACACTTCATACATAAAGTGCGGACTTTGTGCAACAACCGTGCCATTGAACAATCGTTCCGTCGTCGGGGAGAGGGATTTGGTGCTATGGATCGGTCAGAATTACTATTAGGAAAACTCGTATGAAATAAGGTATATTTTGGATATTTATTTTAGGTAAATAGTTAAATTGTGTCTAATTTCACAATGCTAGTAACGCTATTACAGTGACCGTAATACTGTCAGGAATCGGACCTGACTCGAGGTAACAGAACAAATAAAAAAAAGTATTTTGATGAGTGACCCGGTGTAAAAACTGGCCTTTTCCTGATACAGAGAGTCAATCGTTAATACTGTGTCACCGTGTCGAAACACAATTTTCGTCAATGCAGAATAAGCGTAACCTTATCACAAATACAGTATTTAAGTCAAAATATAGCAAAACACTGCACACAAAAAAAATCATTATGACAGCCAAGTTCTAGCGATATCGTACAGCAAAAAGGACATTGTGTCAGTCAACTTATCACAAAACCTTACATCAAACACAGTTTTACAGTCACGCCATAGGATAAAAAGTTTTCGAAAGTTGTGTCCGGATTCTTTGATATCGGTGTTTCAAATTGAATATGTGATTATACTAAGTTTGTGTTAAACAGACTGTTGTTGTTGTTTGAACTTTTCTTATGAGTCTTGTATGAGTCTTGTATGAGTCTTGCATAGGAGTACGGGTATGATGCAATAACCTGCCGGAATGGTGAAACGTTATTAGTTGTACCATTTTAATTAGAAGTGTCAGTTAAGTATTATGTTGGTATTTTCAAAGATGTTAAAAGAACATTCTATGTCTTGTGATTATTATTACATGTATTTATCAATTATGGACTTACATTGAGGTTAGTATGTGGTTATATGAACATGAGAAAGTGATATAGACCGAGACTAAGACACATTATTAGACGCTTAATGACGTGTTTATCATTAAACAAGATGGAATGTATGGAAATTTGAGAAAAGAACTGCATTTGGCAGAGAGCATTGTGACGTCACAAATGAAGCGACGCCATCAAGATAATATCGACCTGCTCTTTCAAAAGAATAGTAACCCGGAGTCAATGTTACAAATGACCGACCTCATGTGATTGTGATGTAATAAGGATGTAGGAAAACGTTGCGTCATGTAAAACTTCAAATCATAGAACAAACAACCTTCACAACCATTTTTCATGTTTTCTCCTCCGTTCCATTAAATATAACTGTACTTTAGTAAATGAGGACTGTACATTTATAATATTCTGTATTTGTAATCAAATCACTATAAAATAAGTTCTAGATTCATCTATTTCAAACGTAAATTATCGTAATGCTTGAAACTTGTATATTTCTTCTCGCAATTGATAATAATTACCATTTATTTTCTTATAGTCTCAAAGGATCGCCCAATTAGATGCATGAAGCTGGGAGCCAGTTCTGGGTTGTCTGTTGGTATTCTGACATGGAAGGATGGTCAGATAAGAATTACGGACTCTCCACCTCTTGGGATTGAAAAAGATTCTATTCACAAATATATCATGAAGGGACAACTTGTCATAAGTGAATACAACAGCAAACAATTTTTTGAATGTGGTGATTCTGGTTCAGCAGTGTTTGTCATGAAAAGAGACGGCCAGTATTATTATCCAGATGCTTGTTTAGGAATAGCTATTGGGTTTCTTGACAAGAAAACTTTTGTTACTCCCATAGGTAACATTCTTGATGAGCTGAAAACAGCCAACACACCAGAACTCGACCTTAAAAAGTTTGAATAACAATTTAAACTCCTCACACAGTATATTGAAAAACACGGACGACTACATTGTGACGAACTGTGTAAATGTGTGATACTCACGGAAACTTAACATGCAGAACGTTCATAAGTGTCTTAGGTATTTGAACTATATGAAAACAAAGACTGACAAAACAGATAAGAGATGCTAGCATTTAGTGTCAATGCTGTGAAAACTTAAATCGAAACAGCAGGTATTCTTTACCACCAACAAAAAAGCTAAAAACCGAGAAGGACCGTGGAAACTTATCTGATCTTTTATAAACAGAACCTTGTTGTTTTGATGTATGTTACTATCGTTACGTAAAACAGAATGCACACATTTTTACTGAGTTTGTATGTTCGTTGTAAATATTCCATTTATGTTACATTTGTAATTGCTATATTTTATATGAAAGCTAGTTATTTCTCCCTCCCTTCACAGGTGAATCTCCCGTTTTAGCCGGGAAAGATCAGCGTGTCACCCCCTAGGGGGAGATAGCCTCGTGCCGATTAGCACGTGTACAATTGTGACGCCATTGAAATGCGTCACCGGTAATTGTGACGTCATCAAAAGTGAATGACGATATTCATACCCCATTTGCTTTTTTGTTTACAAACAGACTACTGTCGGTGGAGTTGTGACTGAAATAATAGGATGGGAGAAAAATAATCATCCCCTACCTTGGGGGTGTAACAGAGAAATCTCCAACCCTCGGAGTGACCTCGGTTAAGACAACAAAAAAGCATCACCCCTCGGGTTGGAGATTTCTCTGTCCCACCCTCAAGGTAAAGGAAGATTATTTTAGTCACTCGCTAGGGGTAGATAGCTTCGTGCCGATTAGCACGTGTTCAATTGTGACGTCATTCAAATGTGTCACCAGTAATTGTGACGTCATTTAAAGTGAATGAGGATATTAAAACCCAACATATGTTTTTGTTTACAAACAGACTAATATCGGTGGAATCGTGACTAAATAATACAGAAATCTCCAACACTCTGTGTAATCTGTTTTGGTTGTCTTACCCTCGGCAGAGCCTCGATTTAGGCAACCAAAAAACATAACCCCTCGGGTCGGAGATTTCTCTGTCACACCCTCAAGGTAAAAGAAGATTCTATTATTCTCACATAGCTGACAATATAGGTTTTTCCATGATGAAAAGTCATGTAAGATAAATATATCTTCCATGGCATCACATCACAATGGAAAGACCATGATATGACGTCATTTCAATCTATTTTGATGAGTTTCATTTTCTAGTTCAAGTTTTTGTTTTTATTTGTTTTTTGCAGTTTTATTTTTTATTCGAATTTTAAATTTTCGGAAGAAACAAAACTGTGATGCGCTCAATCCAATAATCTAGAAATTTTAAAATTAGTTCAGTATTTAAGAAGTTGGCATTTTGCCACAAGAAATGTCCAACTCCTGGGTACATAGCCATTGTTGGGGAGTTTTAGTTATTTTACATTGAGGTGTATGAGTGTTGGGGATTTTTTGTTATGCAATATTGAGGTGTAGGAGTGTCGGGGAAAACTTATTTATATTGCATTGGGGTGTAGGAGTGTCGGGTCAGTTTAAGTTATGTGCCATTGGGGTGTAGGAGTGTCGGGTAAGTTTTAGTTATGCAACATTGAGGTGTACGAGTGTCGAGTTAGTTTTAGGTATGTAATATTGAGGTGTAGGAGTGTCGGGAAAGTTTAAGTTATGTAACATTGAGGTTTACGAGTGTCGGGTCAGTTTTAGTTATATGACATTAAGTCGTAGGAGTCTCGGGGAAGTTTTAGTTATATGACATTGAGTTGTAGGGGTGTCGGGTAAGTTTTAGTAATGTGATATTGAGGTGTAGGAGTGTCGGGGAAGTTTTAGTTATATGACATTGAGTTGTAGGGGTGTCGGGTAAGTTTTAGTAATGTGATATTGAGGTGTAGGAGTGTCGGGGTTGTTTTAGTTATTTGACAATGAGATGTAGGAGTGTCGGGGAAGTTTTAGTTATGTGATATTGTGGGGTAGGAGTGTCGGGGAAGTTTTGGTTATGTGACATTGAGGTGTAGGAGTGTCAGGTAAGTTTTAGTTATGTGACATTGAGGTGCAGGAGTGTCGAGTAAGTGTTAGTTATGCAAAGTTAGGATGTAGGAGTGTCGAGTTAGTTTTAGGTATGTAATATTGAGGTGTAGGAGTGTCGGGAAAGTTTGAGTTATGTGACATTGAGGTGTCGGAGTGTCGGGTCAGTTTTAGTTATATGACATTAAGTCGTAGGAGTGTCGGGGAAGTTTTAGTTATATGACATTGTGTTGTAGGGGTGTCGGGTAAGTTTTAGGTATTCGACATTGAGGTATGGGAGTGTCGGGGAAGTTTTAGGTATTTGACATTGAGGTGTAGGAGTGTCGGGGAAGTTTTAGTTGTGTAACAATGAGGTGCAGGAGTTTCGGGAAAGTTTTAGTAATGTGATATTGAGGTGTAGGAGTGTCGGGGTTGTTTTGGTTATGTGACATGGAGGTGTCGGAGTGTCGGGGAAGTTTTAGTTATTTGACAATGAGGTGTAGGAGTGTCGGGTAAGTTTTAGTTATGTGATATTGTGGTGTAGGAGTGTCGAGGGAGTTTTAGTTATGTGACATTGAGGTGTAGGAGTGTCGGGGGAGATTTAGTTATGGGACATTGAGGTGTAGGAGTGTCGGGGTTGTTTTAGTTATGTGAAATTGAGGTGTAGGAGTGTCGGGGTTGTTTTATTTATGTGATATTGAAGTGTAGGAGTACCTGGGGAGTTTTATTTATGTGACATTGAGGTGTAGGAGTGTCGGGGAAGTTTTAGTTATATGACACTGAGGTGTAGGAGTGTCGGGGAAGATATTTCTTATTAGTAATTGTTAAAACATGTAAAATACAGTTTGTTGATAATGAAAGATTTGGATGTTGTAACCAAAGATAGTATTCGTTTTCGGTGTATGTACCGATTTAAGATTTTATGATGTTTTTTGTAGAAGGATATATTGTTTTTGAGGTTTGAAAATGAATACGAATTAATATATAGATGTTGTAACCAACATTAAACTCTAATTCATCTTTGCCCGTTTATTTATTGTTGTTAAAGAAAAATGGTAAGTATAATTACAGTAATATATAATTGTTTGGTATTTTTCAATTTGGTTTTATGGCCCAAGTTGGGTACACTCATGTTGTATTACAACTAAAATATTAAAGTTAAAATAGAAAGCATTCCGTTTTTGAACTTGTTTATGTTATGCTAAGCAGAGGAACAAAAGAAAGCTCCCGATTCTGCAGGGAGGAGGGCATTAGTCACCTTTTCCCGAACTTGCATAGGAGTTATACAATGCAAGCACTGGCTGATCTATACAAAAAGTAAAGCGAGCAAAATTTCGAGGCTTTTTTTCTCTGCGACTCAAATGGTCGTATATACAGTATATACATATATATCGGAACAGTTTGGTCAAAAGAATCATTACAGATCAAATGACAGACTCAAACTCCGAGAGATGCTTATTATTGAAAATAACCACCAGTTACTCTGTTTAGTGATGAGATATACGATCCAGCGATTTGTAGCCAAAACTGCGATGACAAACAAAAGAAATGAAACCTGGTAGCTTGGATTGCATGACGGAGAAGTCATCTAACATTTCCGTAGGGTAGGGATAGTCTGCTAGACGCAATCGATGTACTCTTTAATTTTATACTGTCAAAGTAAGAATATCCACTTCATGTTAAAACAAGGAACAGTCATAACATTATACAAAGATAGTTATACAAATACTTCATAGGACACAACAGGGATTTACAGCCGAATTCGGTAGTACAATGGCAGTGTTCACTGTCCAGGAATTTATATTTCATTATATCGAAATATTGAAGTATTTGCTTTTTTCCTGAACAATTTCAAAACATTTAACAGCGTATGAATAGGCAGACTATTATATAAAGTGTTCAAGCTCAGTTTCAATGGAGAAATGCTGGAGATAACTGCAAAATTCGTTTCAAAGCGTGAACAAAGTGCAATTTATGAAGGCAAAAGTAGCAAAGACTACAAAGTTAAGCAACGGTCGATCATGGGAGGACATTTCCCTTCCAGGCTTTTCTTCGTAATGATAGACAATGATGTACGCGCTCTGGATGAATCTGAACACAGTTTTGCAGACTCACTCGCGAATTGATAGCTGATGACATGCTCTTACAAACTTCACGAATCTAGCAGCTAGACAAGACATCCTATATGCGTATGCTAAGTTTTGAAGGCTTAATAACAGCTCTACTATCAAAAGGACCTATGCACGTACAAAGTTTACGAGGGAATGGATTCTCTTCTTATCTTAAGGATGGCGTCATTATACACAGTGCGTGTTGAAAAGGAAGGAACAACCTTAATAGTCTAATGGTTGGTATACATCCAGGCGGACTTAATCTTCTCATTAGTGCGAAACTCATTAAATCAGTAAAGCAATCGTCATCCCGGGTGTTAAATAATATCGCAGACGTCCATTGTTAAGTTGAACAGAACAGTAGAAATTGCCTCGCGAAGATGCCAGGGTCGGCCAGAACTAACACAGCAATTCACTTATCTATCGGTTCTCTATAGTAGAGAAAAGAAACGTGCTAATTCATTCATTTTAAAATCGTTGTTTATAATTCTCTTATCAACATTGATGTTTCCCTCAAAACGTGAGCGTCTTAGACATTCCGTATTCAATAGTGAATATATCAAAAGAACATTAATTTTTTGAAGTTGGATTTCTCTTGTACATGATATGGGAAATTCAAGGGGCAGTGCTTGAGTTTATTTAAAAGACTTCGTGGCGATGTTTAGATGTCGACTAATAAGATAGCAGTATGTTTATCAATTTTGTGTAGGTTTTGCTCACCTTTACGCTTAGTCTTTGCCATTATATGTTATAAGTAATGACAAAGTGCCATCATAATCTGGTCATATTTGACAAAGTTGTTGTGCAGAAACAGTCAACCATTCAGAGCATAGTATGATAATTAATAAATTTTCAATCGCACTCAGTCTATGTATAATGGATATGCATACAAAGTTTCATCAAGATCGAACAAAATCCAAGCAAGTTATTTTGCGGAAACCGTAGTGTGAGAGAATGGACGGAACGTCGATCATCATCCCATAATACGCCCCGTCAAAATTTTTGACTTGCGTATAAAAAGTTGTTGGTATGTTCACAGAATAAACATACTTCTTCAGAGCAGCTCTTGAAAATTGTGTCGTCGAGGTTGCGGAATCACAAGCAACAGTCTGGACTCTGAGGTAGACTCGCTATATACTAAGACAGATGGATGTCAGTATTTATGGATCTCGCAAAATAGAATGATAGTAAAAATATAATTAAGGACTTTGAAGTAGACCAAGAAAATTAAGTCCTACAAAAACATTCTAAGATCTAGTCAGAAATTCACAAAAGACGTATTATAATTCACCACGGCTAAGGTCATTTAAGGACGAAACCCCAAATGTGTGCTGAATGGGGTATGTTGGTAATGCCCAGGAAAAAGCCTGCACATTTAAACCCGGATAAAATGTCCCTGGTATGATTTGCCAAATATGTTTCCTCTGTTCTTTTATAATTTTGTACAGAAAAATAAAGTTAAAGTTGAAAGTTGAAAGCCACCTCACTGATAGCCAACATACTTCGATTTTGTTTTTATTTTCGTTGTTCTTAAGAATTCAGTTCTTCATTTTTCTTGCAATTTATCACCTTACCCTTTATAAAGCTATATTTTCAATGGGAAAATGTTGGCATTAGAGCTGTATGGTTAATGACAGATTACAAAGGTCGGCACAGCACCAGTAAACACATACATTGTTCACCTGCCCAAGCATTCATGTATGTACATGTTGTGAGTACAGACAGTAGACATGCATAGCACATACACAATATATATTGTATCGTGATACATATTTGTAACGTGTTCGAATTATTCTATAGCGCTATAAAAAATATGTCTTGTTTGATACAGACCCATGCAATATAATCTGTATCTTCACTTTATTAACAACGAACCAAGCGTTTTACCTGGAACAAATTTACAATAGAAAGAGTATGAATATATCTGGGTAAGATCTAAATATAGAACATAAAAATACTATTATTATGTCACAAGATATCCCACTCGGATTGTTTACGCTGGAAAGACCTTAATTTATCAACAAAACATTCCTTCAAACTAGATAAGTCAACTATCTAAGAACATGTAGAGCGTATCCCAAGAAACTTGTCATACAATGATAATGGTGTGTTAAGAAATTTGTACGGAAGCCTGATAATGCCACATGGAGTATTTTTGATGTGTCAAATCTCGTTAATAATTGCCACATAATTATGTCCTTATTACGATAATTGATAATATATAAACACTTTGGACTCTGAATAGGGTTTATTTTACAACTCGACATTTGACTCAATCACATTTTTACATTGTCGTCTTCCTTTTCCTTTATCTCCTAATCTGAATAGGGCATTCAATAAAAACAAGTTAGACGCGTGTACTTGATTTTTTTATTGAGAAATGAACATAACACACACCAGTGATTCCATCTTTAAAACCGAGTTATATATATGGTATTCAAAATAACAACAGATAATCTACAAATGTAGCAGCGCGAGTACCATGTAGAGTAACAAACTTAGGGCAAATTAATTTTACAAAGGTATTTAATGGGTATCTTTATAAATGTAGTAAGGTGTAAAAGTCATCATGGTGTCATTTACTTGAATGTGATTGACATGGACAAAGATGATACACTTCAATAAGATACATATGGGAATTATCTCCTACACATCTTGATATTAAGAACATATCAAAATAATAAAGCATTCATATTAATATAACCAGACAAGGAAATGAATTACAATACATATGATACCTAACTATATAATATGCTGTAGCCAAAATTAAAATAAACAATGTAACGCTATGAAGGTCATATACAGACCGTTTTCCTTTCCTGTATTTCCACATATATTTTGTCCTTTCCTGTAATTCTACATATATTTTTCCCATTCCTGTATTTCTACATATAGTTTGCCCTTTCCTGTATTTCTACCTATATTTTGCCCTTTCCTGTATTGTTACATATTTTTTGCCATTTCCTGTAATTCTATATACATTATGTCCTTTCCTGTATTTCGACATATATTTTGAAACACATAAGATATGTATTTCTATTCTAATGACTTCGTGTACCACCGCTGAGTCATAAATGATTTAAATGGTCATATTGTGCAGTAAACATATACTTTGTCTGGCTTTCTCCATCGAGAAACCTTTTTTTAATGTGTGCTTATAATTTCTCTGTAGAATGCATGTCATTTATTTATCTATCAACTATATGTCAATTTATGCTTAATTCGTTGATGAAGGATTATAGTTCAGTTCATAAAACAAACAAATGAAACCAAAAACAGAAAAAAACATCGTCTCTGCTGTTGATAATGATATTTCTTTGTTGCTGACTGTCGTTGGTAACAGCCGTAAACATTTCTGTTTGGAGAGTGAGTTTAAACAAGATCACTGGTCAAATTTATCTTTTTATCACGACAATGGCGATGATTATAGTTAATAAAAAAAAGGTTTTCTTTATGTTGGCTGTCATTGGTAACAACTGCCATTTCTTTCTGTTAAGAGAGAGTGTTTAAATAAGATAACTGGTCAAAAGTATATATTTATCACGACGATGGTGATTGGGTTAATTTATGAATCACTGTTCCACTGTCGATGCGACGACCTGTATACCAGCAAGTTGTATTAATACTCTGACAATAAGGAGTTGCTGTCGTCAGTTAAACATGTACTGAATACACAACTGTAAGCGAGTAACGCTATAACTCAAAAAGGCATCGCATCTGTTCGCTTTTGATGTATATTTCTTCTTATTGGTTCTTAAGGAATAAATTCACCCACCATTTTCCTGAGGTTATCGTGGTCGACATCTCCAGAAACAAAATTTGGTAGTTTTGGTAACACATCTTCGTCTTCATCACACGAGGTTAATGTTGTGCTCACTAACTTGTCTATCTCAAGCCTCGATACATTCGATGTATTCAACATTTCCATTTTTTCTAACAGTTGAGTCAGCTCTTCAACCTTTTTCTCCGACTTTTCACAATATTTCTCATGCATCGCAGATTCTTCTTCCTCCAAGGACGATAACTCAGCCAGCACTGCATCTGCAATTGAATCTATTTCTGCCTTTATCTTTGTCCTTTGAAAGTTTACCTCTACGCTGTTGTTATCAAGGTTGTCTATAACCGATTGATTAGCGCGATGCTGCTCTGACCGCTGGTTCTCAGAATGGGCAATGATAGCAGATAGTGATGCCATCTGCTCTTTTAAACGTTGTTTTCTGGCGGTAAATTCGTCCTCAAAACGTTTCCAGTTGTGCTGTTTATGTGTTTGCTCAAAACACATCAAACACATCAGTGTGTCACAATCACAACAGTACATGTCACACAGTTCACCGGGATGTAGTTTACATACCTCTGGTACAGGCTTGTCTTCCTGACGGTTAGCATCCCCTATCGATACGACGATATCGTTTCTGGTTTTCCTCCCGCGTGTATGGGCCGCCTTACATCGGTCACACAATGCGTCCTGGCAGTCGTTACAATACCAGTTAACGTTGTCCTGACTGTCACACAGAGCACACGTGGTGGTAGGGGAGTCCTGGTCAGACAGAACGGAACTGTAACCTGCCATAGTGCTGGTCTTCGCAGAATACTATAACTGTTGCTTCAGAACGTCAAAATGCCACTGCTGTGTTGTTATGTCGGCTAAGGTAAACATTCACATATATACTTCCGTGTTAGGTTTATATCACATGATCAGTCTGACACACACGTACGATAGCCGATACGGATACACACGAATGAACACTTTATGCCATTCGGCTTTGTCACAATAACTAAAATAGAACCATCACAGCGCTGTTTAATGTTGTTTCTGGACTTTTAAAGAAAACTTATAATTTGAAATTAATTGTATAGGCTGTCAAGACTCGTTATCTGAGTGTGGAGAAATGTGAGGTTCTGTCTGGCGGCTTGTCAGCGATATCACTCTTTATATACACACTAGTATGTATATGTTAGTAGGTACAGTGTACACACAACACAGCCGATAACTACTTCGAATATGAACACTTGTGTTTATGTGTGTATACGTGATTTACGTCATGGTTAAAATATAGTTAATCTTAATATACTAGTGTTATACCACGGCATCACGTGGTTTATATATTGTACTAACACAAATCCTATATCTATCGAACTGTATGGCATTGTATTGTTTTGTAAATACTAATACAAAATGTTTATGTCTTCTCTCCGATGTGTTGTAAAATACAAGGAATAAAGAATATAAATCCGAATATTTGTCACGAATTTTATTCTTAAGGGAATAAAAAATAAACAAAAAAACAAAATGTGTGTTGTTATCCATTCACCTAAAATGATAAATATATCTAGACGTGTTATATTGAAATACAGTCTGATGTTCTTGAATTATAATACCATGTGGATAAATAAAACACTAAAATCAGAATGTATATTTTCAAAATATCAAAAAATCGATTGGACCTTGAGCTACGGTTACCACAGCTAATGTCTCCATATCTCTATGTAGAGTGAGCAATTAGAATAGTGGCCGAGTTCATACATAATTACTACTGGTCTTCAAAATAGGGTTAAACCTGGAAAAGGGAATACTAAGACATTGAACCACACTTATTATTTGTCTTCTTTGTATAAGTTTATCAAACCGTCATATGCAAATACAAATATGAAGTTGGAATCGGGATTTGCTTCTGTGTCTCCTGCTTAGGGAACATTGGAAAACACGGAATGGATTTGTTACCCCTTGCAACACTTAGGGTCCATTAATTTGTTTTGTAAATACTGTATTTGTAATGTCTTCTCTCCGATGTGTTGTAAAATACAAGGAATAAAGAATCTTAATCCGGATCTTTGTCATGAATTTTATTCACTTAAGTGAACAAAAAAAAAAAAAAAAAAAAAAAATTTTTATACATTTTTTTTTTATAAATTTTTTTCTCTTAAGTAAAAAAAAAAAAAAAAAAAAAAAAAAAAAAAAAATTGTTATACATTTACTTATTATGATAAATATATATAAATAAAACACTAATCAGAATGTGTATTTTCATATGTTTTAATATATGTAAAAAGCAGCGTTAGTAAAACAAAATCATGAGTTTCGTGAAAAACGCTATCAAGTGAATACATTAAAAAATAGTATTACAACAAGCATTGTTAAATATATTGTTAGCAATATCAATAAAGTAGTTTTATTCAAGCATACGTCATGACCTTCATATCAATTAGATTAATAAAAAACAATATGACAATATGTTATGTGTATCTATATACTTATAACATACTTTTTATTATGTATAATGTATATATATATATGGTAGTGCTATACCAACTGTGAGTCTGACGTTTAAGAAAATTTAATAACACTTGGAAATTATTGAGGTTTGATATAATTTGCCCTGCAAATATAACTCGAATTTTTATTCCTAGAAATATTATAATAGTTACATTTTCAGGAAATCCGTCATAATGAATAATAAACTTTATTTATTGAGGATAAAATACACGTTTAGCCAAAGGCTAATCTTCCACATGCTTTTGTTTTGTTTTGTTTGGTATTGTTTAACGCCCTATCAACAGCTATGGTCATTTAAGGACGGCCTCCCGTGTGTGCAAGATGCATGCGTGTAGTGTATGCGTGTGTGTTTTGGGAGGCTGCGATATGTTCGTGTTTGTCTCCTTGTGGTATAGCGGAACTGATGCCGACTTTATAGTGCTACCTCACTGAAACATACTGCTCCTCTTAGTTATATTATATCTCATCGATTTTTTGTCTTATTTTTTGTCTTTTTTCTTTCATTGCCCGTTATACTTGATTTGATATTCACACCGAGGAGTTGGTAACTAGTGCTAAAAAAACCTTAACATTTTTAAAGTGTAATGCTCATACCGATGGGTTAGTAGCTACTGATTAATCATTATTTAGATTTTTACAGTTTCAGGTTTGAAAGTATTGTGGGTGATAGCAAAAGGCTAATTCTCCATTGTATGAGTGCTATTTTACTGACATGAGCAATATGAAAACTGTATTTTCCACTAGTTTGAATTCACCATTGAAAAATAAAACTGTCTCAGATTAAAAGATAGTAATAAACAGTTACAGAATAAAGTGTGTTTCCTGTTGAATACAATTTAAGTATTATTCGTGTGTGAGAATACTTTAATATTTTTGCTCTAGTTGGATCGCTCGAGAAAATGCATTCTGCGATACTCGTGAAATATCAATGGTACATGTAGTATTTAATAAGAAACTAACCCCTCCTTCCCTCCACCTGTACCATTTAACCCTTACCTGCTACCCCTACCACGTACCACTTCTCTCTACTCTTTTTTTTTTTCATTTTTCTTCTACCATCTACCATTTATACGACTCCCTGTATCCTGAACCCGATACTTTCTACCCCTTCCTTCTACATATCCTGCACCGTGTAACCTCAAACCCCTACACTATACCATATACCCGCTTACCTGTAGCCTCTACTCTTATCAATTACCTTGTACCCTGTACTCTCTTCCATATCACATGTGTCCTTCACGCCCTATTCTCAGCCCGCTTCCTATCCCTTTTACAATGTATTTTCTAATCTCTACCTCAACCCTCTACTTTTTACCCCGTTTCCTGTAACTACCCCCCCCCCCCCCTTGTACCTTCTACCCGACAGTCTTTACCAATGAAAGTTTTTCTCTACCCATTAAAGTTTTCCTCTACCCTGTTCCTTCTACCCTCTAAACCCTATCGTGTACCCTGTATTATCTTCCCATTACCATCTGCCTTTACCAATGAACCTTTCCCGTCTACCGTATTTCTACCCATATTCTCTACCCTATATCCTTGTCATCTATCCTCTTGTTAACGTGAAAATCTTTGGCAATGATAACTTAAGGTAAAATCTTCAGTGAAAATAATTTTAGGGTTTTCTTTCGAAGAACTGTAAACTGCAAATTATTCTTGCGTATTGTAATGGATGATTTTGAAGTAAACGAAGACGAACTGATAGCTATGTTCAGGTGTTTGTTTATGAGCAGATATCAATACAGGATTACACAAATAAAGCGCATTGCTTATTGAGAAATAATTGTATCAGTAGTTTTTAATGTTTTACTAAAAAATAGCAAAATCATATAAATATTATTAATAATTCACATTATCAAGCCAATCATTGATTTCTATATCGATGTTTGACTTCAGAATAATAAGTAACATAGTTGGATTTTTATTTCAATGTTTCGTTTCACGTTTCATCGGATCACATAACTATTTCAAGGGAGGCAATCACTACAAACTCTATAAACAAAGTAAGTAGATGTTGTCTAAATTGCCGGGAGTAGCTCAAAGTCTGATCGATATCATTTAAATTTCTATTTTTTTTTAATTATCAGACCACAGTGTATTGTCCGATAATCTAAAATGTCAAAATATCAAAACATCGAATGGACCTTGAGCTACGGTTACCACAGCTAATGTCTCCATATCTCTATGTAGAGTTTGCTATTATAATAATGGCCGAGTTCATACAAATTTACTACAGGTCTTCAAAATAGGGTTAAACCTGGAAAAGGGAATACTAAGACATTAAATCACACTTCTTATTTGTCTTCTTTGTATAAGTTTATCAAACCGTCATATGCAAATACAAGTCTGAAGTTGGAATCGGGATTTGCTTCTGTGTCTCCTACTTAGGGAACATTGGAAAACACGGAATGGATTTGTTACCCCTTGCAACACTTAGGGTCCATTCATTTCTACACTATCCCTTTGCCGATTTCTCTCTAGACACTCGTCGTCATATGACCTTAGCTGTTATGAAGATTTTAAATCAAAACAAACAGCCAAACATAAGTGTTCTAAGCAATTAGATAAAATAATTGCTGGTCTTTCTTTAAATTGATACAAAAGCAACGGTTGCCAGTGGCGCCCATGGTCAATCGGTACATACTTGTTTATCTTAATAAATGTTTAGCAAAGCCGTGAGCTATTCTAAACATTTTTACATCAAACAAAACACTATTTCAGATTCATATTTACATCAAAGAGCTAATCGACTGATTTATAATAACGAGATCAAATATGTAGTTCTCCATAACTTGCAAACAGCTATGAAAATGAAAAGTTTGGTGTGGTTTATTTTTTGACGTCCTATTAACAGCTAATATCATTTAAGGACTTGCCTCCATGTGTGTTTTGTACGCGTGCATGTGTGTATACGTGCCGGGGACAGGATGTGTTGGTGCACTTGCCTCCTTGTGACTGATCTGATGCCGATTTTATAGTGCTATCTCACTGAAATACCATGCCGAAAGCATCTAGCACAGCATTCCGCCAGGTCACATTATACTGAAAATGGATGAACCAACTGTTGACATTACCTTAAATGCTGGAAGTTAAGCAGACTTTGGTATGTCCGGGCCTTTGGACAAAAGTCATATTCCTCCTCACCTGGGCAAACGCCAGATTAAAGCCAGAAGTGAAATATTGCCAAACAAGGCGCTAGGAAATAAAAGGTAACTAGAAGAAAAAAGAAAGATAAAGATTTCAAATGTTGCAATGGATGCAGCAGATTTATTTTTCCGCTTTTGTGTCCCCAAATAGGGGACATCAAAGGCAATGTCCAATTCTGCAGGGGGTTCCGGCATTAGTCGCCTCTTACGATACATGCAGTGGGTAACAACAGGTGTATCATTTTCTCGATCCGCGACCTGCAGGAAACCGATCATAACTATACAGGTCACTTGAATAATTATTTACGGAAATAGCTACAATATACACTGTAAATCCCAACACACCAAGTTTATTATATGACAAGTTGGAACGCCGATTTTTGGTCTTTAGTAACACTTACTTATTCATTAACATACATTCTAGTTAAAACACGTAACTATGTATATGTAGCTTACAGGTAAAACGTGCACTTATATAAAATGCCTTTACCCTAACTTCTAACATTGATTCTTCCCACTCAGCATTAAGGGAAATGGCAACAACTGGTTCACCCGTTCTCTGTATCAATTGACCGGGCGGAATGCTGTGTTTGGTGCCTTCTGCATGGCATTTCAGTGAGATAGCACTATAAAGTCGGCATCCGCGCTATCACAAAGAGGCAAGCACACCAACATACCATGCTTACTGCAAACACACACGCAAACACGCATACACTACACACAATGTCATGGAAGCACGTCCTCAAACGACATTAGCTGTTAATAGGACGTTTAACAAAATTAAACAAAACAAAACCAATTAAGTTAATAAAAACACTTACCCGGCCTACCGTATACCATGTTTGTGCTAAAGATGTCTCGTCTCTCAGACGAATTTACATGAAATTGCTGAAACCACTTCGACTTAATCTTAAGTCCAACATTGCCCCTTTTTATGTCAAATAATGACATTGACAACAAATTATTCTGAGGATTGATTTGTTTACTTTACAAAGAACACGTAGTATGTACAGAAACAGCAAGATAACATTGTCAAAACCAAACTTAAACTAAAATTCAATAAAAATATGGCAAAATATGAAAAAGGACATATTTACTAAGGGACCAAAAAGACAAATAACAAGGAGTATGAGACAAGGTACTCCAGAAAGATACGCATCCTCTGCTTCATTAACGACAACCGCTATGTAAATAAAAGAACTTAATATCAATTAAGAAATTGAAAGAACAGCCAATGAAAGTCACACTAAATGCATTACGTACGTCGCTAGGGCATGAGTAGATGTCTCATGAAGATCAAATTAATATCAACTGAAAAATTACTAGCTAAACGCAAACAATAGAATCGATTTATCAAAACAAACAAAAATGCTTGTTTAAGGAATTGTTAAGAGAATACCTTGAAGTCACGTTATTTTCTATCCCTACGTCACGGTTTGCCACAGGTTATAAATAAAATATAATATACATTAAGAAAATATAAATATCCATCTAGACACTAAGGTGACGAGGCTCACACAAGTTCAAGTAATATTTTAATACTCATAATCACATTTTTCCCTTAGATTCCAATTGCAATCATAATTAACAACAGGTTATATAAAAACTACAATCTACATTAAAAATGAGAGTAAATTTGACCGAAGAAATCATCTCACACGAAATCTACTACCAAAATTGAACTGTTCTATAATGAGTTACCTCGCTTGGCACACTGTCCTGATTCAATTCCCTGAATGAGATTCAAACCCGGCCGCGACTCGCTTTTATACAGACTATCGCGTGCCACACTGAAAACTTCAAACTAGTAAATACTATTACATTATGCAATGCATCTCGTCTTTTCCTTGTTTCTTAAACAACTACAAAATACAAAATACCAAGTCATTTGCTCAAAATTAGCTTATAAATATCAACAAAAAAAAATGGTATGTAACGGGTGAGGGGATTTTAACCTTACTTACTAGGCCATGTCTACATGTATGTTGTGTATGCGTGCATGTGTGCCGGAGACAGGCCTTGTTGGTGTGTATGCTACCTTGTGATAGCGCGGATCTGATGCCGATTGTATAGTGCCATTGAAACACTTTATACTGACACACTAAATGTTGAACGTTAAGCAGGCAATAACAACTGCCATTTTTAAGAACTTTGTTTTGTTTTTGCCAGGTGACAGAACCCATTGCCTTTCTCACCTGGGTACGTTCAACATTAAAGCCAAACGAGAGGTAATGCTAAGAAAGGCACAAGGGAGTAAAATGATGATAGAAGAAGAGAGAAAAATAAAGATCCCAAATGTCGCAATGGATGCAGCAGATTAATTTGGGACCGTGGACCATGGTTCAAATGTCGTTATTCGTTACCCTATTTTTAACTTTGAGATTTGACTTGCTATGAAGCAGCATGTTATTGTTTAATATTATACTGCAAATTGTTTAAACTGTTGTAGTCATTTCGCAAAAATGCCGATTTGCATCATCGCCATCTTTGCAACTTACAGCGTGATGAACATTTGCTTGTTTTATGTATAGTATTGTTGTCTGACCCGTCGACAGTTTCAATCATTTAGACTTTCATAAAAAAATATGCATAAAAATATGCAAGAACATTTTAAAACTTAAAAGCTTAAACTAAATGGTTAAAAAGTTTAAAAGATTAAAAAATAAATAGCAAACGATTTGATTTTTAAACACGATATCAGATTATTTTGTACAAATTCATTGAATGTAATTAATCATATATTAATACAGTAGCACAGAAACAAAAATGCACGAAACATCTATTCATAGTAAATCACTTTATGCAGTAAGCTTCATGTTTGCGAACTTATTTATAAGCAATACATGTTTATCTAGATTAAAGGTGATCATTTCAAAATTAATTGTTTAAAGAAACTATATACAATGTTTCAAAAGCAGTTGAACTAAAAGGTTAAAAGTGGTAAGATAGTATTATGGAGGCCTATTTCCATTTTGTGTTTGATAAAAGTTTTCATAGGAATTTGTCAAAACCTTGATTAATGTTTTCACGCGTAAGACAGACAAAACATGAACAACATTTAAATAAATAACATGAACCTGTACAGATCACAGCCGTGAAATATTCAACAGTGAGTGTAGTTTTTCAAGCGACACAATTATTGATTTGGTTGGTTTAGTATTGTTTAACGTCCTATCAACAGCTATGGTCATTTAAGGACGGTCTTCCCTGTGTGCAAGATGTATGCGTGTAGTGTATGCGTGTGTGTTGTGGGAGGCCGAGGATCGGTGGGTTTTTTTCTGGAAGCTCCAGCTTTACCCACTACCAAAGTCTGGCACGTCCATGAATGACCATAGCTGCTGTTTAATAGGACGTAAAACACAAACGAACACAATCTGTGGCATATTCAAAAAAGAAGTTACTCAAGTCCCATAAATAGTTCTACACGTCTCTAACAAATGTCTTTGTCATTTCGTCATATCATGGTCTTTCCATTGTGATGTGATGCCATGGAAGATATATTTATCCTACATGACTTTTCATCCTGGAAAAACCTATATTGTCAGCTATGTGAGAACAATAGAATCTTTTCCTACCTTGAGGGTGTGACAGAGAAATCTCCGACCCGAGGGGTTATGTTTTTTGGTTGCCTAAATCGAGGCTCTGCCGAAGGTTAGACAACCAAATCAGATTACCCAGAGGGTTGGAGATTTCTGTATTGTTTAGTCACAACTCCACCGATATTAGTCTGTTTGTAAACAAAAACATATGTGGGGTTTTAATATCGTCATTCACTTTAAATGACGTCACAATTACCGGTGACACATTTGAATGACGTCACAATTGAACTCGTGCTAATCGGCATGAGGCTATCTTCCCCTAGCGAGTGACTAATAGAATCTTCCTTTACCTTGAGGGTGTGACAGAGAAATCTCCAACCCGAGGGGCGATGTTTTTTTGTTGTCTTACCCGAGGCTCTGCCGAGGGTTTGACAACCAAAAACATCACCCCGAGGGTTGGAGATTTCTCTGTTACACCCTCAAGGTTGGGGATGATTATTTTTCTCCCATCCTATTATTTCAGTCACAACTCCACCGACAGTAGTTTGTTTGTAAACAAAAAAACAAATGGGGTATAAATATCGTCATTCACTTTTGATGACGTCACAATTACCGGTGACGCATTTCAATGACGTCACAATTGTACACGTGCTAATCGGCACGAGGCTATCTCCCCCTAGGGGGTGACAAGCTGATATTTCCCGGCTAAAACGGAAGAAACACATGTGAAGGGAGGGGGAAATAACTAGCTTTCATATAAAATATAGCAATTACAACTGTAACATAAATGGAATATTTACAACGAACATACAAACTCAGTAAAAATGTGTGCATTCTGTTTTACGTAACGATAGTAACATACATCAAAACATCGAGGTTCTGTTTATAAAAGATCAGATAAGTTCCCTCGGTCCTTCTCGGTTTCGAGCTTTTTTGTTAGTGGTAAAAAAAATACCTGCTGTTTCGATTTAAGTTTTTACAGCATTAACACTAAATGCTAGCATGTCTTAATTGTTTATCAGTCTTTGTTTTCATATAGTTTAAATAGCCAAGTTTCCGTGAGTCTCAAACATTTACACAGTTCGTCACAATGTAGTCGTCCGTGTTTTTCAATATACTGTGTGAGGAGTTTAAATTCTTATTCAAACTTTTTAAGGTCGAGATCTGGCGTGTTGTCTGTTTTCAGCTCATCAAGAATGTTACCTATGGGAGTAACAAACGTTTTCTTGTCAAGAAACCCAATAGCTATTCCTAAACAAGCATCTGGATAATAATACTGGCCGTCTCTTTTCATGACAAAAACTGCTGAACCAGACTCACCACATTCAAAAAAATGTTTGCTGTTGTATTCACTTATGACAAGTTGTCCCTTCATGATATATTTTTGAAGAGAATCTTTTTCAATCCCAAGAGGTGGAGAGTCCGTAAGTCTTATCTGACCATGCTTCCATGCCAGAATACCAACAGACAGCCCAGAACTGGCTCCCAGCTTTATGCATCTAATTGGGCGATCATTTGAGACTATAAGAAAATAAATGGTAATTATTATCAATTGCGAGAACAAATATACAAGTTTCAAGCATTACGATAATTTACGTTTGAAATAGATAAATCTAGAACTTATTTTATAGTGATTTGATTACAAATACAGACTATTATAAATGTACAGTCTTCATTTACTAAAGTACAGTTATATTTAATGGAACGCAGGAGAAAAAAAAAAGGAAACTTGTGTAATTTTTCTTGTAAGAAAACATGAAAAATGGTTGTGAAGGTAGTTTATTCCATGATTTGAAGTTTTACATGACGCAACGTTTTCCTACATCCTTATTACATCACAATCACATGAGGTCGGTCATTTGTAACATTGACTCGGGGTTACTATTCTTTTGAAAGAGCAGGTTGATATTATCTTGATGATGTCGCTTTATTTGTGACGTCACAATGCTCTCTGCCAAATGCAGTTCTTTTCTCAAATTTCCATACATTCCATCTTGTTTAATGATAAACAAGTTATTAAGCGTCTAATAATGTGTCTTAGTCTCGGTCTATTTCACTTTCTCATGTCCATATAACCACATACTAACCTCAATGTAAGTCCATAATTGATAAATACATGTAATACTAATCACAGGACATAGAATGTTCTTTTAATATCTTTGAAAATACCAACATAATACTTAACTGACACAACTGATTAAAATGGTACAACTAATGACGTTTCACCATTCCGTCAGGTTATTGCATCATACCTGTACTCCTATGCAAGACTCATACAAGACTCATACAAGACTCATAAGAAAAGTTCAAACAACAACAACAGTCTGTTTAACACAAACTTAGTATAATCACATATTCAATTTGAAACACCGATATCAAAGAATCCGGACACAATTTTCGAAAACTTTTTATCCTATGGCGTGACTGTAAAACTGTGTTTGATGTAAGGTTTTGTGATAAGTTGACTGACACAATGTCCTTTTTGCTGTACGATATCGCTAGAACTTGGCTGTCATAATGATTTTTTTTGTGTGCAGTGATTTGCTATATCTTGACTTAAATACTGTATTTGTGATAAGATTACACTTATACTGCATTGACGCAAGTTATGTTTCAACACGGTGACACAGTATTAACGATTGACTCTCTGCATCAAGAAAAGGCCAGATTTTACTCCGGGTCACTCATCAAAATGCTTTTTTTTTATTTGTTCTGTTACCTCGAGTCAGGCCCGATTCCAGAGTATTACGGTCACTGTAAAAACGTTACTAGCATTATACAATTGAACACAATTTAACTATTCTTACATGAAATAAAATATCTAAAATATACCTTATTTCATACGAGTTTTCCTTGTAATTGTAATTGTAGTTCTGTAATTCTGACCGATCCATATCACCAACTCCCTCTTTTTTGCGGGACGATTGTTCAATGGCACGGTTGTTGCACAAAGTGCGCACGCTATTTATGAATTGTTGTGCGGTCACAAAGCTGTATAATAATATTTACATACTACTCACTTGAATCCAGATAGGATATATCTGCTTTTTTCCGGAAGCATATGTTGGTGGATGTGTCAAGTCCATTTCTGCAAATATTCCAAATAGCAAACATCAAAGATATGTAAAGTTGCAACCTTGTTATGCGTTAACATTTCAGATGATCCAGGATAATGTATAAGAGGCTCAAGAATGTGATACTCCGAGGTTAACATTTGTTGGCATAGAGGTATTTTTCCATTACTTTTTTTTTGTTGAGAAAAATAAATAAAAATGTGAGCAATCAACTCGGAAAAATGATTATCTCTGTTATAATTCGGTCATTGCAGATGATATATGAGTTATGTCCTGGAGAAAATGATATTTCTGACGGAAGTAGTGTAAACTTTCCAGCAGTTCCTGTGGTTGGCTATTTATAATTATTCTACTATAAGCTTTATGAATGCTACGTCTTTAATATTTTGGTGTGATATGCTCCTTGCATGTTTTTTTGAAAAACAATTTATCTTACTTGCTCTTTGGAGATGAAGATGTTTTATGTCATCAAAGGAACCATCACATGGTGCTCTGTCTTGGTAAATTTCCACAATTGCTGCATCTATGCCGGTTTCTAACGTGGGGTCAAATATAGCTCGGACTACTTTTCCGCACTCCCAGTAGACATTCCTTCTGTTAATAAAGCAATTTTCGGTAATTGTTTTTTGTATCTTTTAAAAGATAGTTATATCTTTATTGTTGTTGCATTGAATTCAAAACAAACCATTTAATCTACGTGTAAAACTACATAACGGGACAAATATGATACTTTTCAAAATACCATAGCTCAGATGCATGTTGTTCTAGCACCAGGTCATTTCCAGGCAAAGATACACGCTCCTAACTCTTTTTTTTTGTCACAATTGACCTTCCACTGAAGAGTTATACATACCCATTTTCGACATTGCCATCATCTTCACCTACGGGGTCACCTACGGGGTCACCGTCGATTTCCATATCCCTTACTCCTCTTAAGACATTATCCACAAAGTGGTCAAAAGGAGCGATGACGTCAGCACCACACCCTTGTTGTGAACAACTGAAGCGTATTGGCGTGTTTCCTTCGGATATAGCCTGCTTATAGAACAGATGAGCACATGTTATGAACCCAGTTTTACCGTTGCCCATTTCTACGAATGCCCGAGTGTTCCTGCATAAGCTGGGATGGCAGCAGAATGTGATTTACATAACTGCATTCCTATTTTCAACGGAAGATGTTCATCTGTTTCCATTGGATATCTGTTTGTTGGTATGTTGGTAGATGCAGCACAAACACAGTAGGTGGATTCTTGCTCTCCTCGTTTATCACATTGACTACCTCCAAGGGCACCAGAATTGAATTCCCCCTCAAGTACTGCAACAGGCATTGCTCCTTTCTCACATTTTAATTCGGTTGGAAAGCAGTTGCTCTCGTAGGGAACGTATCCCTTGTGTGAACAGTGTAGAATGATGTGTCCTGTAGATTAAGGTTCTGGACATTTCACACTTGTTAGGCTTCCAGCAGTGATTGCATTTAAATTTGGATGCTGATCCCAACGGTAGTCAGCCCATAGGTCAATAACAGACTTACAAATGACTTCTTCATCTTCTGTAATTTCAGTTTTTTCTATCCAGTTGCTCTCCGGAGATATCTCCGTGTTTATGATGACAACACTTACGCCATGTATGTCTTCTCTCTTCTCAATATTATCAACATTTTCCGAAATTCCAAGGCATACTCGTTCAATCGGTTGATTCTTGTGTACTGTGAATGTCGGCTTAAAGCGAGCATAAACATCCTGATTTCTTTTTTCTGCTTCCCTACAGACTGATTCAAGCAACGTGGACTCCGTTTTCATTCCATACGACATTTGAATGCAAATGTCCATGCATGGATTTTCTGTGTTTCTTTCTGTAAATAAATGCACTATGTTGTTCATGTTAAGGCACACAGAAAGACTGAGCGGTGACAATGTCATGCGCGATTTTCCCTTCCACTCTGTACAGACAAATGCAGGAAGACAGTGTGCCGGACGAGATGCAGCATCGGCCCCGTGGTCCAGCAGCATTTTTACCATTTCGGTTTCTCCTAAAAGAATTGCAAGATGCAATGCTGTCCAACCAACTTCATCCTCAGCATTTACGTCTTCTGGTCCACTGCTGATCAACATTTTTTGCAGTACAGTACTACTTTCGTGAAGAACTACATGATGGAGTGGCAGGAAATCTGTTATTAAATTGACAAATATTTCTATTAACATGCATACGACTGAATTGAATAATAAAAGTTAATAATTACATATTTAACTCATGGTGATTTGTACTAAAGTAAACTCTTAGGGAACGTATGTACGTAATACACAGTTAACATGGTTATTGCGAATTCTCAGGGCACTATAACTCAAACAGGGAGCCAGGATAATAGTTTTAGTACAAAACAAAACTCTCTGCAGACTTTGGAGTCCACGAGAAAGCTCCTATCACAAAATACAGAAACTTGTTTTATTTAAGCAATGATTATCAGTAGAAGTGATCGTAGTTAAGTAGTGTTAACTGTTTTCGAAGACAATACCATAGATACTCTTCGCCTGCTGTACTTGAAAAAATATAAATGCTGTAGGGGCATTATCTTTTCTGCCAATGACGAATCAAGCAATGTGTCATACATACCATACGGATGCTTCTTCCGACTAAGTTTCAAAAACTGCTGATCGGAACGAATTCTGTTTGGTAACGATGGGTCTGCGAGAAAATTGCTTGTGGGAATGTGAATGAGTTTAAGTGGGTCTTCACCTGGAATTCCATGGGCTGCGTTTATAAGGTGTTGTGCAGCTAGTGTGAATACTTCCTGAATAGACTCCTCTTCTTGAGAGGGCGATACAACCACTACCACGTCTATGGCATCGGGATCTATGCGTAATTTTTCTAACCATTTAGTCTGTAATTGTATTGATGACACAACAGTTAATTTAGGCAAGTTCTCATTGGATATATACTAAAAATGACTACCTGATAGTTCTTGCACATGAGGTCAATAATTGCAAACATCAGAGTAGGAGATATTTTAAATTAAAGGTAAAATAAAAACCACCCTTTCATTAATGATAAAGTGACACGAAAATATATCACTGCCAAACACATATATTCAACAAATGTCAATGAAGGGTTGGGAATGTATTTAAACGATATTGTTTTGTTTGATAAGAAGGTCAACGCTTTTGATTATGCTTATTAACTAATGCGCCTTGTTGTTTTGTTGTTAAAACTCTAAATTCTCGCTTTATGCTCTCGATATTACTTAGAATGGTTCAAGATGTATTAGACAGACATCGTCAATAAAACAGAAGAAGTTTATACCTTCGGAATATCTGGTTTCCCTATCCTTATATTTTTGTAAAGAATGAGAAAACAAACATTCAAACGTACCACATAGTGATCAACATCGAGGTCATGCTCAAAGAATAGGGTCCAATTTAGAGCTAACAGGATTGTCATTTAATCTATTCTATTCATAACGAAGTTACGTGACATTGGCATCAGCACCTATTCCATAGCTAATATTTACACGAAAAAAACCTTATCGGACGGAAGAACGGATAGGAGTAACAGCGTATGCCCGCACCATTCTGTGGCGGGCCATAATTTGGGTCTGTACGTAGGAATTATTTTTCGAGAGAGTGAGGCATATCAATTTTGCTGAATGTTCTTTCTAATATAAGAGTACATATTATTTGTGAGTTTGTGTCTACGCTGCAAGGGTTATAATATTTCATTATATGCCGAGCCAGATGGAAAAAAGATATTTCATGTATTTAAATAAAAACACAAATTATGTGGCAAGACGTAGAAAATGTTTGTGACATAAAGCCATCGCTTGTTAATATTTTAAGAATAATTTTGTCAAAAATTGCAAAAGAAAAAAGATATTCAAATCTCGTTATAAGAGAGACACTTAGGCATTGAGGCGATGTTACTATCTTCTAACACTGTTGTTACTGTTAACTGAACAATGGTTTGATATTATGCTGTTCATAAATTTCTTGACTGTACATAATTTGGGCTGTATCTTACACTTACACTTTGCAGCTATTAAATACAACTGTAAACACATTGAAATGTAATATGTATTTATTTATGGAAATACTATACGAGATAAGAAGAGCAACATATCTATAGGTCGTGGATTTTTCATATGCCAAATGACTGCACAAAGGACTATGTGATATAAACATGTATCCGTGAAATTATATTGTATATCAGTTTTCACTTTTATCATTTGACGACTACTTTCGATGTGACTTCAAATCAAATATCTTGAAATGATGTACCGATATTAACTTAAAAAGTGGGGTATGGTTGTGTGCGCGTGTGTGTGCGCGTGAGGGGGTGGGTGTATTTGTTTGTCATTAAGTAACGACTGTGATAACTCTGAAACAGGTTTTTCACTCCGTTGATGACCCCCATCCCTAACCAGACACACATAAATATGACATTGTATGCATGAATTTACATTTACATTCATATTAGTATATAAAAAATTAATAATATATTTCTGAAAAAAACATTTTGAGAATTGATTGTAAATTCGATTCACGCTTAAATGAATGAATGTCAAAATCAAAATGTCAAAATCAACCTACGTCTCTCCTTGCCAAAAGAAATCCATAACCATCCGATGCTTCAAAATGAAGAATGGCCACATGTTGTTTTGCTTCGCCGCCTTCTTCTTCTTCTTCTTCTTCTTCTTCTTCTTCTTCTTCTTCAAAAAAAGGATTTAGCGTAATCTGCAGCTTACAATTCAAATATTTTTGTTGTCAGAATTAGAAAAAAGTAATTTAGCAATGGTAATTGAATTATTAAAAACAGCTTAAAATATCGTCAAGGGCGCTCTGACCACTGAATCAATAACTAAATTATTAGGTAAATGAATATTAGAAAACAAGGTAAATAGCTTAGCTTTGACGTTTGTAATCAACATTTTACGTAGGCAGGTTAAAGAAGGCAAAAATTGACGATTTTCAGGAAGAATCGAACAACAAATAAGTATTTGCAGTGACAAATTTCATTTATGACCCTTGATAAGTAAATGCAATGTGATAAGCCAAATGTACATAATACTTGGGTTTGTTGTATTGCCAATGCCAAACTGTAATTGGTTATACCAATTCCTTGTCATTAATGTGTTGGTTGTGTTGATGACTCCATCCTTTGATGCAATACGTTTCGTTATTTTTTTCTTTTATATAAATAAAGGCCCGGATGCATCCGTGCAATTAATGTAAATAAAAAGATTTAAATTTAAATCAACAAAAGGGAATTTATGAGTTTGTAACACATTAAAGCGTAAAGTGTAGGATCTGTTGCGATGAACTATTGGTCAGAAACGTGTACATTTTTTATATCCATACTCGATTGTAAGGATTTGGCGGTGTTAATCTAATAAGATTGTTGTTGAAATTCTAAGACCTGCGTATATTCCAACAGATACAGAAAGTTTGAGACTGAGACAGTTTGCTTTAGACATTGCTGATTCATATTCGTTAAATCGATACACGTTAGTGTAGTTACGGGAATAGTTTTAACAGCAATGCTATTACAGCGAGCACCTCTGAAGGTACGGTGAAAACATAGGCCATCTCTATTGTATCCTTCTGCATGTCGTTATAAATTATTAATGTTGGGCTCCTGCAGTATGGGGGTATTGTTTGGTTTCTTTTGCAGTTCAGGACTTTGCAGAAACCAAACTGTACCTGTTGCACCCATTGCATCACTTCGGTTCTACATTTTTTTTCTTCTCCCACCCCACACTTCTCTACGTCTAGATCGTTGTTCTTGCGGAGACGTTAAAAGTCCATACAAACAAACATTATAGCGCGTGAACAGTATATTCGGAAGAACACGAATTTATTAGAATTGTACACGGTGAAATGTAATATGATTTTATGGATCAGAACATACGTACCTTCATATTTTGTCCTCAACAGATAAGAATCTGACAATGATTTTGCAATTGTTCTCTTGCCAAAATTGCATGGCCTATGAACATCAGACGGGCTTTTGTCTTGGATTGAAAGACTCCTTTCCTGCATACATTGACGGAGACGATGACTTCCGGTCAGTTCAACATATCTGAGCAAACGTTTAACTGTAGCGTCTTTGTTGGATTTACACAGCGAAGATATATCTCCGTCCTCTTTCAGGAGATCGACGAGTGCTCCAACATGTCCTGTCAGATCTACACAGTCAAGCACAGACATATCATTTACATTGGCTTTAGGGCTCCTGTTTCGTATTTTACGCAGAATTGGTTTTATCATTGTAAACTTTGCTGCCCGTCTGATCAGGTGACACACAACTGTCTGTTTGTTGAACTTTCTATCAAACGCCTATTCCAGTGGTCGTTTTCCATGGTTATCTAAAGCTTCTATATCAGCGTTGAAATCCAGTAGAAGATCAATCATTTTAGAATTAATACTGGTACTAGTCACGCGATGCAATGGCAAAATGCCGTATCTATCAGGGACATCGGTTCTGGCGCCGTGTTCTAGGATTATTCTACAAGTTGTGGGGTTGTTAATGTCTTTTGTCAAGGCCAGGTGTAAGACCGTCTCACCATTGACATCCGTAGCATTGATATCTACTGAATGCTGTTTCAAAATTTCGTCAAGAATTCTTGTATACCCTTTGAGAACAGCAACATACTGTAAAGAACGTTTGAACAGGTTTTTAAATTGTGCACCCTTTTGAAGAAACCAAACTCCCATGTCCTCGCGATCATGCATTACCGCATGTTTTAGGAGGGTTTCTGAATTCCCTTGCAATTTATTTTGCAAAACATAAGCACTCAAGATCTGCGAGTTCATTGTGTTCACTGGCATAAATGAGAAGACCTATGCTTGGAGGCTTTACATATTTCTTTTCTTCTTCATAGTTTTTCAAAGATTCAATATATTCCCCCATTTTTTTTCTGTATGTTTCATCACATATTCTGTTTGTATTCACCATTTTATCTTTTCGTATTGAAATATTACACGGAAGGTAATGGTGTCCTTTTTGCTTTGGTTACTGTTTCCTATCCAGGACTTCCTCTGTGCAGAGTAATCATATTTTCTGAAAGGAAAGCAAACGGAGAAATTTTGTAAGGTAATACAAGTGTAATTCTAGTTTACTTGAAATGAAACACGGCTTTTGATAAGTCAATCGGAACAATTTCCAGCAGTATAACCACGATATACCGTGAGCAAATTTCTCATTTGCATCTGAAGCCCGATGGGCGATTGTTAATAACGTCAATGACCCCGATTGACATCGGTACGTAACGTAATGAAATTGATAAGTACGTGCTTCACGAACAATAGCGCGACCCTGAAAGGTCAATGTAATTCCGCCTCACTTTGAATGTTCCTGACGTCACCAATTCACGGCAGAAGGACCAAGGTTTTGAAGAAAATACAAAACAATAACATCTTAAGATAGTCGTTTCTTTCGATGATTTTATCTGATATGAATTAGAATGCGGATAATCATCAAACCAGCCTTCGCCAGTAAAACAGTTTAATGACCGCCCGGACAATAACGAGTGAGCCGGGACTCCTCTGTGAAAAAGACCCGACGTGCACAAAGAGGCAGACCGATTTAAGGATAATGAGCTCGCAAACCAACCTCGCGCCATTGGTTCGTTACAGTTTTGTTGAGGGAGTGTGGCGATTATGATTGCTGCCAACCGTATAAATAGCTGTTTCAGGGGCAGTAACATAGCGATTACGCAGGTGGGCAAGACAAACAGTCGCGGTCGGTCGGCAACCCTTCCGGTGTCTCTCAGACGATGGTCAAGGCGTTGTATAGCGGAATCATTTACACCGAACTGAATTGCATCTTGTTGTAGCCCTTGACTTTGCATTAGTAATGCAAAAGCCTGACCCTTCT